TGCTCTTCAAAAATAAATGATAGTAGTAGATAATCCTTGATATAACGCCGAACACATCTGAGCAATAAAGGGAATGGGGCTGACTGAATAACTTTGGGCGTAGTAAGAGATAAGTCTGCAGAATCCAAATTGACACACCCCAGAGCAATGAGACTAGCGTTATTCATTCCAGCGAGTTACAAGTAATATCGTATCCTTTCCAACTGTAATACTACTAAGAGCGCGAGCATTTACAAAGTGCCAATTTGCGTCACTAAAAATAGCACATTTATCATGAAAACCGGTGAAAAAATCAGCTTCGGTTTATAAACCACCAAACTTACATAAGAAAAGTAGCCTGCAGTCATCCATGAAGCGCCATCTGGGACAAACTACAATCAATAGAAGGAAAACAATTATTTCAAACTTCCGCAAAAACCAATTGAACTTGTTTAAATACACTTATTTGCAAACTAAGGCGGTGTTAACAGAAGACCAAGGGGAATCTCACCAGAACCTACCATTTATGTTATTGTTCCAGACTAGTATTATGTTCTGTCAGGAAAACATTTGAATTTGTGATCATAATTAATCCGGTTGAATTGGTGAAATGGACGCAGGAAAATTCGAAACCATCACTCTCAAATCTGGAAGTTTTCAATTGAATTCGATTCACGACTTCTCCTGACCTTCGCTTATCGTACTCACTAAAATGTGCATAGGGTGCTCACCCCAGGTGTGCACGCTAAAATGGACCGAATTCTCTTGCTCAGAGTTTTGGTCGTCAGAGCTTTGTCATTCATTTGGTCGCTTCCCTTCAGAGCATTCGCAATAGGGCTTCCTTGCATACCATGACGGTTAGAAAGACACGAATTGATCGGTTTTCACCGCAACATTCAACTTTATCTTGTCATTAAAGGTGCAGTTTATGAAATAATCTTTGAGCACAAATAGTAGTTAATGTGCTATGGGTCCTTCTTATGCACCTCAAAATGTGTAATGAAGCACATCATGCCTCTGAGCTGCACAGTTAGACGAAGAACCATCACATTCAACAGCTCTGTGCTGCTGAGCGCACCTATGTTCGCCTGTGGAATATTCAAACCTGATAACTGATTTCTGGTTTGCCGTTGCAAATGAGTTACCAGGATTGTCGTGAGAAACTGCAAAGATAGGCCCTCTGAAAGTAGTAACCACAGATGTAGATTTATACTAATCTTTTGTATCGGTACAGTTTTGAAAGCAACGATTATGCATGTTCCAGTGAAGGACTGATCAGTGTGGACGCCTTGAGTTCAGAAACGAGGATTGCGGATAAAAAGAATGTAACTTGAGCACAGAAGTGGTGAGAACACCTGAGTTCATTTCATATTATTACCCAGAGCAATATGTAATGCCGGGCGATGCATGTGGCCGCATTCTGCATGGGGACCTGAAGTTCAGGTCTCTTGCTATCGTGGGAAATTCTAATTATAGAGGGCACATATGGAAACTGTCTAATAGGCATCTTCAGACCGATCTATCCAACCTTATATTGGAATAACACATCACAGTGTACACACAAAAACAACTAAAAACATGTTCCTGGTATCACAGGCTAACCGGAAACCGTCAAAGCAGCGTCCGTGTGGAGTGAACCGCAGAATAGGGGTTTGAATGCCTCAAAAAATTCTTAGCCTGCCTCCAGTTGCATACTAGTAGTCCCCTGTGTATCTTCAATTTCATCCATAGCTGAAGTTTGTGAGTGATTTCGCATCCCTTAATGCAGACTTTCTTGGTGATATTATCCTTCGCGATCACCAAAACGAGTCTCACGAATAACCAAGTCTTGGCTGTTTCTGTCTTTTGCAGTTGGAGTGATAAGGGTATACCGTCAAATGACAAAACTACACCAGCTCAAGCATTTCCGTCAAAACTTTGTTCTTTCAACCAATTCAAAAGAAACCAATGATTTAGATTTGATTTGGGTTTGGAAATCATGTTCAGTTCAATGATTACAATGTCTTCACTTTATGTGAGCGTTACACCACGTATCTATGTGAACTGACACTTATTAGATTGAAAATTAGGTCCACAGAGAATACCAACTCACAAAAACTTGCGGCTGCGATCCCGGAGTAGCTTGTACATTAAAGTCGACAAAAACTGGCACGTGAAGAATCGTCTGTAATTTTTTGGTTGCGTTCATCCATGACCAGTCCGGTTTCATTGGTATGTTTGTGGAGATATCGTAGCGCTGAAACATTCGGTTTGGCCATTTCACTGTGCTATTTGTGTTTCCGCTTGCCCCGGTTTCATTCGTTGCATTCTTATCCAAAATCCAGATTCCGCCAATGGCTGGCGCGACGGTGGAAATGAACGAGCGCGTTCCAAGCCAGTCCCTCATTGTCCGATGCGTGCAAGATTGGTACCACTGGGCAACCTTGAATTTCGCTGAACCTCGTTTCGTATACTGAGTAGAATAAATGTGGTCAAGACCAGAAATAATTGCATGTATGTTAATCTGAGTCAAGTGATCTATGGCTGGTCGGTGAACTCGCAAAAGCCGACCCGCTTTTTCCTTGTTCAAATGCATTACTGATCCCTGTTTGAAGCCTAATTGGTAGGCTTGGCTTCCTTGAGCAGTTGGTGTATCCGGCTCAGTGGTCGGTTGGTGTGGCCGGAAATGAAGCCCACATGCGTACCGATAGAAGTTGTCACACGGCGAAACCGAGGTATTCATTTTTTCACGTAACAAGCCAGCTGCTTTGAGACAGCGGTGGGACTGACACTGATGACTGCGGAGCCAGCGGTCGTAACTAATATTTTTTCGGTCAACGAATAACACGGTGAGAACAAGGATAAAGAGTAAGATAACCACGCATCTTAGGACGCAATGAATTACGGAGTTTTGCTTGCTGAATAGCTGCTGCTTAGCAGAATTCCAATTGATCGAACGAAGCTTATAGACTAGTTGTCGGACGACCAGGCCGGGGCGTGCAAATAAGGCAGACTTATTCTTCAATCCATTTGCAGTGGCAGCTGTACCACTGAACATTTGATAGTTGAAGTGATCTGCGTAGTACGCGACGTTTGGTGTGCTGCATTCTATTTCTTCTACAAGAGCAGCACCGGTATCTTTTTCCAGACGTAAAGCTTGGACAACATTGAACGGTGAAAAGAATTCCATGCTTACCCGATCCAGTATCAAAGGGACTGCTTTTCGCTGTAGTCGGTTTATTCGAGTCCGACATTACGATAATCCGAAAAGTATTAGTGTCAGTATATTGTTGCGTAGCAAGAAGAGAACAATTTCATCCTACGTTAGTCTAATGAGATAGTGGTTATATTGGTGATGTGAACTAACCAATCAAAATTTGAGAAGCCTGTGCAGTTTTGTTGTCCTCTTCCACAAGCGTGCTGACCGACATTACCAGCATTTACGAAATGACATTTGGTGATGTACATCTCTGTGTGACCCCAAATTAACATAATGTAGCCAACCAAATAGCAGATAAGCGTTTTGGTGAAACGGCTGATGAGTTGGTTGAAAGTTTGCATGAACATTCAGCACATTCAACAAAACGTTGTTCGTCACGTGTGCACTACTGAGGTTCACTTGTAACGTGATGAAAAGCAGTGAACCAGATCTCTATTGACATAAGTGATGACTTATTAGAAGTGCCATTTGGGTTGCACAGTACAATTGCCTCCACGTACAACTAAAACATACTTTGAAATGCCAAAAACATAAATCGATACTATGGAGAAGGACCAGCGTATGACCAAAACAGTGCAAACAACTTTCTCGTCTCCAATTTCCTTTGGGCAAGACCCGACGGAGAGTATTAATGAGTTCAGCATATTTTAGTAAGGAATCACTATATATCGAAAATCACCATTGATCACTTGCCACTTTATTGAGATCCACTTGGTTGATGGTGTAAATTTTACAGGGGAAGAGTGCTCA